GGTGCTGTTTGGCAGCTCAAGTCCCAGGCCAAAGCTGCAGTCAGATGAAGGAGGGGTGGGCTGGGCTGGTCTCAGCCTCTTTATTCAGTAGAGGATTTTTGAGGTCTTCCCAAGCCAAACTATACTGTGACTCTAGAAGATGTGTGGATGTGTAACTTAAATTGAAAATATTAATAAAACCATTATTATCATCATCACTTCATAATTTTTATTATAATTATTTACTACTACATCTATTTCTTCCACTCCTCCTCCTCCTGTTCTTCTTCTTCTACTTCTTCCTCTTCTTGTCTATATTATTCTTCTTATTTCTATACTTCAAATAATTATTGCAATTATGGCTACCCACTATTTCTTCATCTTAGTATTTCTATTATTCTACTTCCTATTATTAATTTTCTTCTTATAACTATTTCTTCTTATGTGTTTCTTCTACTTTTACTTCTAAGTCTACTTCTACACATTAAGTTTTATATTCTTATATTCTTATCCTTATTCTGACTTCCTATTCTTAATTCCTATTCTTTATCCTATTCTCATTCTAATTCTTCTTACTATTCTTTCTTGTTTTCTTGTTCTTGCTCCTTTTCCAGGCCTACTCCTGGGGCTGTGGAGCCAGGTAGGGGCAGCGGCAGAGGCGGCGCAGTGCCCGCAGTGCCCGCCGCAGCCGGGATGGATGTTTCTTCAGCAGGGCTGGCGCTTGCAGACAGGCAGGGCAGGCACAGAACGGACCTGGGGAGCTCAGCTCAGGTGGTCCCGGCTCAACCCAGGCCTCGCAAGGGGCAGCCAAGGGGAACCCACCTCCGGACAGACCTGCCCATCTGCGCTCTCTCTCTGCCTGGTCTTCACACAGCTCGAGGAGGCTGACTCCATCTTCCTCATCTTCTTCTTCTGGGGAGAGCTCTTGCCCAGTGCACACTTCCTCGTGGGACTCTTACTGGTACAGGCTGGTTTGTGTGGGGAACAGCACCTGCTCAATGCAGGCTTCCCCTTGGGATGATCCCTGGTCACTGCTGGATTCTTCAGGGAACAGCTCTTGCTCAATGCAGGCTTCCCCTTGGGATCCCTCATGGCAGCTGTTGCTAACGTTGCTGCATGGTTGCAGGCCTGAGCTGTCACCTGCTGCCAGCCCCTGCCCACTGAGGGCCTGCTCTTCCAGCCTGCTGGCCATGGGGCTGGCTGCTTTGCAATTGGGGTTCACCATTTCCTTCTCCATATGTAACGTCGGCTGACGCACAGAGGGCCCAGGAGCTGCTTCCTCCTGAGCCAGTGGCACTCCTGGCACTGGGCAGCACAGGACCCTGTGCCCCGTATATACCCCTGCAGGGCGGGGCTGTGCCATGTCACCAGGACAACAGAATGTCCAACATCACCCAGGAACCTGGTGTTCCTAAATCACCATTGATTTCCATAGGGCAAATGAGGTGTCCTTAAATCTCTACTGACTTTAACATGTAGACCTGTTTGCCCTAAAACCCCTTGGATTTCAATGGCTAAACCTAATGGCCAAAGAATCTGTCTTTCAACTCCCTCACTTAATAGACACTATCTCAGTTCTTTTGCCAACCACTTGTTTCCCACCTAATTCCTTCTTTTCCTTTTATTCTTTCCTCCTTAACTCCTCTTTCTGACCACTCTCCACAAGCCTTCTTAATCACAAACTAAAACTTCCACCTATTATCCTCCCAATAGTTGAACCTGACTCATTCTCTCCTCTCCTAAATCAGTTTTTCGAGCATCAGCTCCCTTCCGTCCTGTGAGTTCTTGGGCTGGGACTTTCCCTCCCGGTCCCTCCCAGGGTATTCACTCGCTCTCCCCTTTCGCTTCCCTTTGCTCCCGGCTTTTCCCTTTGCTCTCCTCATGGAGAACCGAAACTGCGGTACTAGGAGGTCCCTCTCTCTTCGGCTAGGCAGCCGTCTCAGACATTCCTCACTCACACACAAGCACACAGCCGCCCCCTTTACCCAACCCCATGGTACTCACACAGCCCATTTTCGCACAGGGCTCTTGTGCACAAGACGTTTTACGGGCACCTTTCCCTTTCTGCCGGCGTTCCCACAGGAGCCTTCTTCTTCTGGCGCGCCTCCTTGTAGCGAGCTTCTTTTGCATATGCCTTATTTTAATTTGGAACTCCTTCTCCAAGAGTGCCTGGTCTAGCCTCAGGACCACCTTAACAACTGGTGGGGAGCTCCTTCCCAAAACTAGCCACTCTTCACTTGGACTGGAATTCCCGGGTTTTCGCACCAAATTGTTATGAATTATGTTCTATTTTATTTTCCAATTTATCAAACAACAAGATTAAATTTAGTAGCAAATTTTTAATAGTAACAATTATAAATGTATACAATTAAAGTATTGGAGATCAATACAATCAAAGTATTGAATACATATATTTTAGGATAGGTAAAATTTGGCAGTAA